GTACCTCACCCGGGGGAACTGCGATCCCCCGCGATCCCCCCCGAAATGATCTCTGGATGAAACCCATATGCAAAAGGGGAAGTTTGATGGCTGACCTGCAGTGTAGCCCTAAGCAGAGTTGCACCGTCTAAATCCATTGAAGTCAGTGAGCTTAGAACTCTGGTTAGGATGGCACTGTCAGTCACTAGCAGGGCTGAAGCCGGAGCATCAGCGGAATATGGTTTCCTTTTTACTATGATTAAAAAAAAAAATCTCTCCCCTACCCAGCTTCCACAAACCAGAAGGCTTTGAATGAACCCATTAGACTCAAACGGTATTGCTGTACTATCATTTGGAATATTGCTCTTAATTTGCCTCATTTTAGGGAGACTAGATTGGAGAGGATTCAGACAAAAATGACAAATAGTTTAGAATCCAAGAGACAGATGAAGAGACTGGAGGGGCCCGACATTTTTAGTCTTAACGAAGAACAGATAATGGGAACGCTGTAAAAAGAAAACCTCCCCAAAATGTCAAGAACCGTTATTCGTCATTATAAATTGGGGAGAGTCCCAGGATTGTCTTTGTTCCAGGGTTGTCTTTGGCACTCTCGAGCAATTGGGTTAAGATTCAAGATGATGGATATGATCTAGAAAGCCCTTAATGGTTTCGGGCCAAGGCATCTCAAGGATTACATTATCTCACTGCAACTTCTGTGACCAAGCAACTCAAATGTGTCTTCTTGAGTCAACCCTCTGTTAATGAAGAGTGGGTCATAAAGACTCATAAATAAAGCCCATTCATGGCAACCCTGCAGGGTTTTCAAGGCAAGAGTCATTCAGAGGTGGTTTGCAATTGCCTGCCTCTCTGTAGCGACTAGGGTTGCCAAGTCCTACCTACATCTGGAGTGGGGGACTCCTGGGTTGCTCCCGGAGTGCGCGCGAAGCGTGCGTTGCATCCACGGCACCCGGAGGTGACGCGACCACGCCAGGCACGCTGGGGGTGGGGCCATGACCATCTGAGGGGAAACCATAGAGTTTTCCCTCGGATGACCGTGGCCCCGCCCCCAGCATGCCCGGCGTGGTCGCGTCACTTCCGGGTGACATGCATGTCGTGTTCTTTGGGGATGGGGTTTCCCCCGGGGCCCGAACCGTCAGCGGCGGGGAACGGGCCTCTGGGGCGGGGTTTTCCCTGGCCCCCGGGGGGACTTGGCAAGCCTAGTAGCGACCCTGGAATTCCTTGGTGGTCTCCCATCCAAGTACTAACCAGGGCTGACCCTACTTCGTTTCCAGTATCTAATGAGATCGGGCTAGCCTGGGCTATCCAAGTCAGGGTGTTTGAGGCATATTCAACACAAATGTTTAATATGAATATTTTGATATCCCTGAGACTCTTCTGAAGACTGAGTCTCATTGGGCTGTGATAAGAGACCTTCTCATTTGGGTTTTGTGGCCAGCATTAAGCTGTTTAGGGGGCTCTACTGTCAGAATGACTTAAAGGTTTTGAATAATCTCATGCAACTGGACGTTTCAAGACTCCAGGCAGAGAATTCCATATTTAAATGCTTCTTCAATTTTTTCTGCATGTGGAAATGAAGCACATGAAGGGTGACAGGGTTATTTCTCCCTGGTGTGTAGGATTGCCAAGTGTATCTTCGCTGGGAGCGGGGGGCTCCCGGCCGGCATCTTGTGTGTGCACGTGCAAAGCGCGCGCATGCCGCACGCACATCACCTGGAAGTGATGTGAGGACGCCAGGCACGCTGGGGACGGGGCCACAGCCATACAAGGGAAAAACATAGAGTTTTCCCTTGTATGGCCGTGGCCCCGCCCCCAGCGTGCCCGGCGTGCCCACGTCACTTCCTGGTGACGCGCACGCAGGGGTGGGGCTCCCCCCGGGGCCTGATTCTGTGGCGTCAGAAATCGGGCCTCCAAAGCGGAGGTTTACCCGCCCCCCGCCCCCACTTGGGAGCCCTACTGGTGTGCCAGCTTTATAAATGTAAGCAGCTTTTATGTAATGGGCTGCTTAAACGTTTAGTTTCTACTCGCAGTCTTCAGTTCTGCAGATTCTGAATTGATTCTTTTGCTGTTGTTGTACATTCCGAAAGAATAGTTGCTTTACACTGTTTTAAGCAAAAAGGACAAATGATATTAAGGTGTCAGAGGACTGTGTGTACTTTAATTGTGTGAGCACTTTAATTGCATGCTTGTTTTTAAAATGTTTAAAATGTTTTCTGTGGACTCGGTACACTGTACCCATCAATGTAAGCCGCCCTGAGCCTGTTCGCGGGGAGGGCGGGATACAAATGCAATAAATGAATAAATAAATACATTTGCTTTAACCTGCTTTGAATAGAACATTTTAAATATATGTTGTAGATTTTTCTCTGACGAAGGTTAGTAAAATGTGAAAAAGAGGGCCAATATTAAAAACTAAATGTAAAAGATATATAGAAAAAGCTACATGTATTTATTAAGTACAAATTTAAAACATATACATGGGCCCTTATATATATTTTAAATTTGTACTTAATAAATACATGTAGCTTTTTCTATATATCTTTTACATTTAGTTTTTAATATTGGCCCTCTTCTTCACATTTTACTAAGCTTTGTTAGGTTCTGAATTTTAGTGTTAAGGTTCCGTTTTTTGCCCTTTCTGTCCCTGTAGATTTTTATCTGTCCAGAGGCCTTACAGTGTGATTCTACGCAGTTATTCCTCTCTAACCCCATCGATATCAGTGGGTGTAGATCCAGGGCTCTTTTTGTAGAAAAAGCCCAGCAGGAACTCATTAGCATAATAGGCCACACCCAACAGCAGGAACTCATTAGCGTATTGGGCCACGCCCCTGACAGCACAGCTCATTGGCACATTAGGCCGCACCCACATGTTACCAGAAGTGTGGTTATCCAGCCACACCCACCTTTTGCTTGTTATTCTGTTTACCTTGTTTGTTGTCAAAACCCAGGGGCTTTTTTTGTAGCAGGAGCGCCTTTGCATGTTAGGCCACACACCCCTAATGTAGCCAGTCCTAATGAGTTTCTGCTGTTCGGTGTGGCCTATTATGCTAATGAGTTCCTGCTGGGCGTGGCCAACTCAGGAGCCAGCCGGAACTCCGTTCCTGTGCGTTCCTGCCCAAAAATAGCCCTGGAAGTAACTCTACATAGGATTGCCCTGTAAGCATCCGGGCAGGCTAGAAAGGTAGAGATAAGAAGCAATGCTTTTATTACTCCAGCAACTTAATGTTTTTTCCAGCACCAGTGTGTTCTCAGCTTTGAATCTGCATCTGGTTCTGGGTACAGTTATCTATCCATGACATCCATTTTTACTTTAATGGGGTTTAAGCATTAGTTCTTGTGCATTCCTGAATTGTGGTAGCATGATACATTAAAAATTAACTGAGATTTTGCACAGTTTACGGATCTTAAGGGCCAAACTTCCTGATACTTTTTTGGGTGAGTCCAGACCAGGGTTCCCCAGACCGAACTTGCTTTCTTGCAGCCACATAGCAGCTGCGAGGAATGTCATTTAAAAAACAGTGCTTGGGATACTCCACGTGCAGGTCCACATTTCTGCAAATAACTCCCTGCCGTGGCCATTTTGACCGTGTGTGTGGAAGCAGAAACCCCTGTTCCTCTAGGGTTGCTAGGTCCCTCCTGGCAACCAGCAGGGGATGGGGGGACTTACAGGGAGTGGGAGGGAGGCCGAGCCACTGCTGCAGGGTTGTTGTGTCTACATCACTTCCGCTGTGACCCATAAGTGAGGTCATCATGCAGTGATGTTGTGGCAACACTCTGGTATTCGAGGAAAAACTCCAGGGTAAATTTGGCTTCTGCCATAGAGTTTTTGCCGAAAATACCAGTCCATCGCCTCAACATCACTGACATGATTACATCGCTTCCGGGTCACGTCGGAAGTGACATAGACACATCACTGCAACATTGACTGGGCTTCGCTCTTTTTCCAGGTAAGTCCCTCCCGCTGGCCAGCTGATCAATGGTGGGGTGGTGAGGCCTGATGATGGGGGACTCCCGCCTCCACGGGGGGTCTGGCAACCCTCTGTTCTTCCCTTGCCACAGCTGAGCTGGACTCCTGCTTATTTTTATGTTGCACTTTTTTACTATGTGGTAGCTCTAGATCTCTGGCAATGTGTAGCCGTGTCCTGTACAATACGAACTGAGATCCTTGTTGACCTGGCCTTATCAGCAGAAACTTTGTAGATTTCAGTCCTTTTCTTTACTACGACTGCGATGATGACAACTATGACTATGTAAAATAAATGGGTGGGTGGCTGAGATGTAAAGCAAACTGTTTTATCAAGCAAAACATGCAAATGTCATGTACCGGGCTTAATTTTGTAAACAAGGACGTTTTATTGTTAAAGAGGTGATCTGTCCTTTGTTTGTAAAAATCTGTCTGTATTATCTACCTTTGCAGTTAAAGATATCGAGAAAAGGAAGGACACTACAGGTAAATCTAAGGTGAAAGATGTAGGTACGTGGAGACCTGCCAGCCCAACAACGGATACCATATCTCCAGAAGCAGGTCAGAGTTTATGGGATGTCTGGGGTGTTAACTGTATTACAGAATACAGTATCTGTATTGTAATGTATATGAAATCTGGAGGAGTTACTGTTCTAGCAAGTGTATTTTTACCACTCATTTTCTTAAAAATCAGCAGAGAAACAGAATACGGTGGCTACAAACAGCCACATTGTAGGGAGGGTTCCATATCTCCCAACTCTCTTTTCGTCTCCAAATATTTTTATGGGTGAAAATTCAGCACAGTTCTACATAATAAGAACTCTGTGTTAAGTAGCAGGTTGGGGAAATCCTTTGCTTAATACCATGGAATATGTGACTTCCAAGATTCCTTTGTAAAGTTTCCAAGGTTCTTTGGTCAAAGAACAGAACCCTAGAACAGGGGTCCCCAACATAGCACCCACCAAGTGTTTTTAGAAAGTTGGCAGGGCCAGGTGAGGCTTTTGCCCTGCAAGGCTTCTGATTGGCTGTGTAGATGTTCCTTTGGCAGCAGCTTCCACCACAGCACAAAGATCTTTATTGTATGACTGAAGGTAAGCGGCAGCCTGCAACAGCTGCTTTGTGGCTGGCTGTACCTTCTGTGGCACTCATTTTTGGTAGCCGTTTTGTGGCTGCGCCCATTGGGCTATGTCAGAATTCTAATGGTGCCCACTGGCTCAAAAGGAATGGGGACCCCTTCTCCCTAGAAGATGCTAGAGCTAGGCTGACCCTCATCCCAGACGCTTAAGTTCCCACGGACAGGAGAAAGTTTTGCCCCCGCTGCTTTTGGCACACCTTTTTACTTTCTTCTGTTAAAGGGGCATGACTGCCATTGACGTCTATGGGGAGAATAAAGCACCACAATCTGGGCTGCTGTTGCAATAAGAGCCAGCCCCCACTGCGGGGGATCCTGGTTATAATGGTGGGAGGGTGGGTAAAAATTCAGTAAATAAATAAATAATAAATAAAAATTTAAGGTTGTCAGGTCCTATCTTTTAGCCAGAGAGGGACTACCAGGTCCTTCCCGGGATCTTCTGCCGTGTGAGCTTTGCATGCTGGGCACAATGGCATCACCCGGGGGTGTGTGTGTGTGTGACATCATTGTGTCGCCGAAGTCAGGGGTGACACTTTAGTTTTTGGGCAAAACTCTATGGTTTTTTGCCTTCAAAACCATAGAGTTTGCCCAAAAACCAGAGCATCACCCCTCCGATGTCAACAACGCAATGATGCCACTTCCAGGGGACAGAGAGATAGATAAGTAAGGGCCCTGTGTATCCTTCCTTTTCACTGCTCTGGTGCTGTCCTTTTGATGCGTAGGCTGCTACTCTCAGGGAGAAGAGCCAGATTCAAGTCCAGTAGCACCTTAGAAACCAGCCTACCAGTCCAGTAGCACCTTAGAACCAGCCTAAGGGACCGCCTTGCCCCACATGTTCCCCCAAGGGCACTACGGTCGGGGAACCAACATCTACTGGATGTTCCAGGCCCCCGTTCTATTAGACTCACCATGACCAGGAATAGGGCGTTCTCGGTGGCGGCTCCTATCTGGTGGAACGAGCTCCCAGAGGAGGTCAGGGCTCTGCGGGACCTAGCACAGTTCTGCAGGGCCTGCAAGATGGAGCTCTTCCACCAGGCTTTTGAATAGGAGCCGCCACCACTAGTGTACTACCATCGCACTAGTTTACCATCTATCCCCCTTATATGGTCATCAGGATGGGGGCACGCACATCTAGGCCCCATAATCGCTGCACTATGGGTGAGAATGGGACGGTTAGGGGACAGCCATCTTGTTTTTAGAAACTGTAATTTGGAGATTGGAAATTAACTGAGAGGAGCACCAAAATCTGTTTTAATGGGGTTGTAATTTAATATTTTGTATTGTTTTACTGTTTTATTCGGCAATATGCCCTGTAAGCCGCCCTGAGCCTCCGGGGAGGGCGGGATAGAAATGTGAATAATAAATAAATAAATAAATAAGACCAACAAGATTGGGGGCGCGGTATGAGTTTTCAAGAGTCAAAGCTCCCTTCATCAGCTATGACTCTTGAAAGCTTCTACCCTGAAAATCTTGCTGGTCTCTAAGGGGCTGCTGGATTTCAGTCTAGCTCTTATTCTGCAGACCAGTATGGCTGTCCTCTGAAACACTCTCAGGAAATCTTCCTCTCTCTTCTCCGTCTTACCACCACGATAGCAAGACGGGCTCTCCTGTATCTCCATCCACCCTAGTTTAGCCAGTTAAGTTTGGAAGGCTAACCCTGTCCTATCCTGAATGAAGTTCCTGAAAATAAAGGACTCCCATTAGTTGACTATGATGAAAGAGGAGCACACTGTGAACTTTCTTTCCAGAGCGGCAAACCCAGTTCCACTCTGCCAGTATGCACTTTGCCTAACATTGCCATCTCTCGCTAGCTAGAAATCAGACGGTGATTCCTTGCAGTGTTCAGACTTACAGATGTAATGACCTGCCCAATGGGTTTAAGGTGTTCCTTGCCCGTTCAAATGGACACCTGTTGAGGTGGACACCTGAGTAGAGGCGTGCTCAGCTTCTTGGAACGTAGAGCTCGTGCAAGTGAACACCTGCCTCCTTTTGCAATGAGCATGATGTCATTTTCAGATTAACCAGCCCTGTCAAGGGGGATGTTATCCTTGCATGCCATCATGAGATCCACTTATAATGAAAGGTAATTCTATACTGGGGGGGGGTGGGGAAGAGATTTGATTTGTTTTCTCGTGCTGTTTTAGAATTCAAAGCACCATCTCTTTGTCATGAAATAACATTCCAAAGCAATTAGTCCCCCATTAAGCAGTGGTTTGTGATATGCAGAACAAGCACATAAGAGGTAAGTTACACGATACCGGAATGGAATCTGGAACCTTCGATGGTTTGTATGCCAGTGGGGCAAAGGTTTGTGTGCCTCTTTCCCCCCTCCTTTTTATCTTGCTGGTTTTTGCATTGTCGATAAAGTGTCTTTGCTTCCAAGCAGTACTGGCCGTATCAAAGTGACAACCAATTTTCTTCCTCGACATACTTACTAAGGATTTGCTACTGCAAGATCTGGCAGTGGCTGCTGACATAGATGGGTTCAGAAATAATTAGATGAGTTTGTGGAGGCTAAGTCAGTGTGGTGTAGTGGCCAGAGTGCTGGGCTAGGATCTGGGAGACCCAGGTTCGGATCCCCACTCTGCCATGGAAGCTGGCTGGATGACTTTGGGCCACTCACACACTCTGATCTACCTTATAGGGTTGTTGTGAGGATAAAATGAAGGAGAGTAGAATGATGTAAGCTGCTTTGGGTCCCCATTGGGGAGGATGGTGGGGAATAAATGAAGCAGATAAACAAGTCTATTAGATACAGTAGCCAAATGGAACTTGTATATATAGAAGTCATATATCTTTGTCAGCTGGACAGACAACAGGAGAGGGTTGTCCTCTTCATGCCTGTGATCTCCTGATGGCATCTGAGAGCCCGTGCAGTATTGGAGCTAGGGTCTAGGACCTGGGAGACCAGGTTCGATTTTGTGCTCCACCAGGAAACTTGCAGGGGGTGATCTTGGGCCAGCCACTCTTTGCCAGCTTTAAGCTACTTTACAGAGTTGTTGTGAGGATAAAATGGACCAGAGGAGAACTACAAACTACGTCCTGAATTCCATGGAGGAAGGGGTGGATAAAAATGTAATAGATTTGGGTGGCTTCTGTTGGGATGAGAGTGTTGGACTCGGTGAGCCTTGGTCTGGTATGCAAAACTCTTATGTTCCTAAAGCAAATGATTACCAATTTGTAAATAAGGGTAGAACTGCATAAATACAGGAATATCCTGCCATATTTTCGAAAGTTTTTTTTTTTAAGCATCTGGGGAGGGGAGATTTGACTTCAGGCAGTAGTGATGGGCGAAGAGGTGCTTAGCCCTTTATCAGTGCTGTTTTCCTGACTTGTTTTTCATCTGCTCACTCCCAAGCTACTGATAGCTCCATGTGGGGAAGGGGGAGAGACAAGTACCAGTATTGGGTTTGCCTTTCCCCCCAGCAAGATTAATTAGGAGCCAGGTGGAGACTGTGATTTCAATCAGGAAAATGGTGCACGTTGTGCTAGACCCAAGGTACATGTCCATAGGTTCTGCAGACACTTCAGCCAGCAAAGAGTCTGTGTTTTGTTGGTTTACCTTTTCTGGCAACCACTTCAAAGTTCCGAATTGCGTCTTTTCATTCTCCATGCTCAGCTAGCTTTAAGCTCAACAGTTCATTGTTTCTCCGTGTTTATCTTAAAGCATCCCTCCTTTTCATACAAAAAAAGAAAAAGAATCTTCTCTTTCAGCACTCACATACACAGGAGAGATGGTAGCTCAGGAGCAGAGAGAGTGCTTTGGAAGTAAAAAGTTCCCATTTCAATCCCTGGCATCTCCGGTTTTTAAGGGATGAGGAAGTGGCCATTTGGACAGATCTTGCTCTGCCTGATTCCCACACGCTGTTATTGTGGCAGCAAAAAAAAGCAAAAGAGTCTAATGGCTTCTTTAAAACTAACAGATTCAAGAGGGCTTTTCTATGCAGGCAGAGTTGCACTGACTAAATGATTCGCAAAGTTACTTGGGTAAATTATTAGGGACTGTGATCTCTATGTGTATGGCTTGCTGAAAATAGCACCCTGCTATGCGGGTTTTAGCCATTGCCGTTCAACCTTAGATCACTGTCTGGTGCTGGACTATTTAATATATAAATACACACAATATCAAAAAGGAACCCTCTTTGCCGCCTTCGTTGATATGAAGGCAGCTTTTGATTCAATAGACCGTGTGTTGTTATGGTCAAAATTGAATTCTACCACCATAGACAAAAGGCTGCTTCATCTGATAATAAATCTCCATAGCAATAACACTCTGCAGATAAGATACTCTTCGGATGACAGACTATCTAAACCTATTCAATCGAGGAGGGGTGTTAGACAGGGCTGTCCGTTAGCCCCATTTTTGTTTAATTTCTATGTGAACTCTCTCATATCTGATTTGCGTATCATTGATGTTCACGCCCCCAAA